GTGAGAATTAGAAGAAAGAGCATGGTGTGTCAGATTCAAAGCAAGGGAGAAATATTGTAGTGGACAATGGCGTGTGACAAAATTCTTACAGTATTTTTGAATAGAATTTTTCCTGTTTCCAAATCAGTTCCCAAACCGGTTAAGTGTGAAAACGAATGTGACAAAAATGAACAGTAAACCCTCATTCTCTCTTTTATAGTAGTGTAGATAGATGTAGAATATATTTAGTTTTTAAAATTAAATATTAATAAAAAAATTAAACTATCTAGAATGTAAAAAGTTACTAATAAGTAAAAAAATCACTTCAAGTTATTTAAAAGTAATACAAAAATTATAATTGTAAAAGTTACTTATAGGTAAAAAATATTAACTTCAACATTTTTAAGTAAATATTTAGATATATTTAATTTTTTTAAATTAAATAGTAATAAAAAATGTACTACAAATAAAAGTAAAAAAAAAAGTGCATAAACCTCCGTGCACGGAAGTTTGCAAAATTTCGTGCACGGAGGTTTGCTAAAATAAAGCCTTTTTTTTTTTAACTTAAGGTTTTGTGTTCATTTTCAGGCTCATTATGAGATATCTAACGAAATTGAAATATTACATTCTTAATATCATTTTGAAGTACTCGTGGCATAGTATTGCACGTCGTTAACGGTGCGTGAAACAGCTAATCGTCGTAAATGTTACAGGACGTCAAAATAGGTATTTTCAAACTATATTTCGAAATTTTCAATAATAAGCTAACTTTAAAAATTCATTAACGATTGTACAATAGTCGAATCGATAAATATTTTACATTCTCTTGAAACTCATTTCATGAATTATATTATAGATATATCGAATGATCTAAATGAATATCGAAAATAGTTAAACGGATATTAAACGTATGTTTTAAAAAATGTGTATAAGTCGTTTTTCTTTAAAAAAAATCAATTATTTTATTACTATTTATTATTTTTTCACAACAATTTTCTCAATACATCATTTTGCTCAAGAAAAATATGTGGTATGACGTAAATTTTTTTCTCCATGCACTGAGTGAATATGTTTTTTTATTTTTTACATTTTATTTACAATAATTTTGTTTATTAATATAATTTTAAAAATTTAAATATATAAGATGTGGTTGAAAGTTAATAGCGTGAGAATTAGGAGAAAGAGCATGATGTGTTAGATTCAGAGCAAGGGAGAAATATTGCAGTGGACAATGGCGTGTGACAAAATTCCTACAATATTTTTGAATAAAATTTTTCCTGTTGTCAAACCAGTTCCCAAACTAGTTAAGTGTGAAAACGAATGTGACAAAAATGAACAGTAAACCCTCATTCTCTCTTTTATGGTAGTGTAGATATAACTTTTAAAAACTTTACGAAGCTTTTGAGAAAAAGTTCCGTTACAATGACTTCCCAATTCGTGTTTTATGGGTAATGGCTAAAACATAGAAAACAACATCGCACCGCACTATTTGATTTCGACGGGCTTGCCCTTATAATTTTTTCTTTTCTTTTTTTGGTTTACTCTCCAAAATATACATACATACATACATACATACATACATACATACATACATACATATATATATATATATATATGTTGTAAATGGTAAGTTTATTATGATTTGTTAGTGAATAACAATTTTACCCTTGTAGTCCTGGAAATTATTATTATTGTATCCCTAATTCTTACCTATAAATATTGGACTCTGGTTCTTAATAAAATGCACACGAGTCTATTGACTTCTCTCTATTTTCTTCTTTTTCCACAACACGTTATCAAACACAAAATGCTTAATTCTTCTAAATCTAGTAAATGTAGTAATTTTTTTAAGCAGAATTATCTATCATGTGTACCAAAATTAATTTGGTGACATGTGAATTTTTTATATATATACACATACGTTATAACGAGATTGTTTCTTCTTCTCTATTTTTCATTGGTTCGCATATTATTTCTAATCCACGTTTGTATATTTAGCCTAAACACATTAATTCATGCCTTTGATTTATACACGCTCATTTTTGCCAAATATTATTCTTGTATTAATTTCATCTTTTGAATCTGCCGTATATTATTTTTACCTTCAATTTTTGTATATGTAAAATTTACGTTAATGTTTAGTATTTTTTGCATGTTGGTAAAAGATTTAGCAAATAAAAGATTTAGTTAATTTTGTTAATTTCTCTATATGGAGATTATTTTTGCTAATGTATGTTTGGTAATTAATTTTTATATATAAATTCATATCTTATTTATATGGTAATCAATAGTCTTTAATCTGATTAAATATTTTTAGATATTCTTTCATAAATTTTAAATTGATAATATATCATGTTGTTCCTGAAATTGCACAATTTTATTAATATTATAGAAGAATATTACTTGCTAATTAAGAGCATGATATTAAAATTTTAATATTTCAAAATAATATTGACTCAGTGTTCCTGAAGTTTTTGAAGAAACACAATCCACGTTATATAAATATTTTAGAAGAATATTTCATTATTACTCATGTAAAGCACAAATTATAATATTATGTTGTTAAGCTCGAAAGGTAAAACGAATCGTTAATGCCAATATTTCAGAAGAATATTGCATTTATACTTTTGAAGATTGTATATTTCATTGTGTTTTCGAAAAACACAACACATCTTATATAATGTCCAAAAAAAATAAAATAATAATAATAATAATATACTCCTGAAAAACATGTCATTGCCAAGTATATAGCAATATTCGAGAAGAATATTGATTGATTTATAGGTAAAAATACAAATTAAATTACTCTATTTTGTTACTCGTCCATTCTTCTAAATACGTATTCATATATTGATATTCTAGTTATATTTTACTTGCTCCCGAATAGCAAAATTAAAAAATTCTTTTTTACTCACGAAGAGTTAAACTCTTATATAATTTATTATTTCAAATAATAATATGTTATTGTTCCTGAAGAGCATGACAATACAATTTCAATATTTCGAAAGAATATTGATATATTGCTCTTGAAAAAATAATAATAAAATACAACGTACTTTCAAAATAGCATATGTCTCGAAAAAAATATCATTTTGAATTCGTGTTTATCCCTGCAAGAAAATATATAATACATGTTATGTTAACATTGAATAATTTTTCTTTTTGATTGAATATTATACAAGATTACAAGTATATAATGTTTAATTGTATTTTTTGAAATTAAATAATTGAATTATATATTATATTGAACCAGAAGTTCAATTTGATTTTATTATCTGGCATGATCAATTAGACCATCACTGAATTTATAATGATGCGAAATTAAAAATTTTAAATAGATATTCCATAAAGATCTAGAAGATCTTTCAATCCAATGAATTTCTATATATCATTTGTTCTCTTTATCGACAATTATCATTAAATATCACTAGCTACAATAAGGATTGAATTTCCTATATTTTTGAAAATTAATTATGGTCATATATGGGGCTTCGCCTATTTCGTCCACTTGAAATTGAGAAAATATTCTTGCAAATTGGAGCATTAACTTATCTTGCAAATTGTAATCGACCTGACATAACTTTTTTGTAAATCTCTTTGTAGAATATGGCTCTACACCAACTTAAAGACATTAAAATGGTGTTAAACATATTTTTGTTATCTAAAGGTTACTATTAATTTGAGATTATTTTATTTTCAAAAGTCTGGATTTACTTTAGTGAGATATGCAGATGTGGGCTATCTTTCTGATATATATAAAGTTAAATTACGAATAGGATATGTGTTTATACGTGGAGGAACGACTGTATCATGGAGATCTGTGACACAATCCTTGATAGCAACATTCTCAAATCATTCTGAAATTATTACAATCTATGAAACATGTCGAGAATGTGTATGATTGAGAAATATGATCCATCATATCCAAGCATTACGCGAATTAACTTCAACAAAAGATAGTCCAACAATTTTGTATGAAGACAATGCAACTTGTATTGCACAACTCAGAGGAGACAATATCAAAAGTGACATGACGAAGCATATTTTTTCAAAATTCTTTTATACACGTGAGTTTCAAAAGAACGACGACATCTATATCCAACAAATTTGCCCAAGTGATAATGTGATCGATTTATTCACAAAAACATTGTCAACATCTATGCTTAAGAAATTGGTTCAAAAGATTGGAATGCGTCGACTCAAATATTTTCATTAGGTGCAGTAGCTGTATTCTTTTTTCTTCGCATAGATTTTATCCCACTGAATTATCCTAGTAAAGTTTTAATGAGACAACATTTATTTTTAATACTAAAAATAACTATATTTTTTTGTTTGATTTTTTTGTCCCATAGAGTTTTTCTCAAACAAAGTTTTAACGAGACATATATTTTATAATATGTCATTTAAAGGGAGTACTATAAATGGTAAGTTTATTAGGATTTGTTAGTGAATGACAATTTTACCCCTGTAGCCCTAGAAGTTATTATCATTGTATCCCTGATTCTTACTTATAAATATAGAGCTCTGATTCTTAATAAAATATATACAAGTCTATTTAACTTCTTACTTTTCTCTTTTCACAACATTGTAATAATTTTCTAAAAAGAGAGATGACAATCAAGCTCGTCGGCTTGAGCAAAAAAAAGCCCAAATCGAAAGTTTAGGTTCGCGAGTCGACTCGATTTGTTGACACACCACGTTTTTAGCTAAGGAACGAAGTCAAAGCTCACGATTTTTGTATACAATAACTTTTTCCTAATTGGTGATACTCCTTTAACGGGACTTTAATTTTGAATTTTCGCACGTAACAAGATCGAAAATTGTCAAGGGTAATAATTAATTTCTGGAAAGATTGTATTACGCCTAAAGTTTCTAAAAATATATAATTTTTTTCTTCATTACAATTTTTAATTGGGCTCAAACAGGGCTTGATGAACTATAGAAAAATAGCTAAAATTCAGAATTACAAAACTTTCTTACGTATCCCTTCCCGTGCCTCAAAATTGACCCCCTTAAGTATAGTACAAAAATACAGCTAAGCAAACGTGCAGATGTATCAGCAGCCATCACCACCTAACCAACCACCGCGCACCACCTTCAACCACCACCACACAGCCTTAACCACGTGTCCCCCTCGGCTACCCTCACATCAATTTTCCAGTAAAAATCATCTTCTTTTTTGGCTCTCTTCCAGCCTGTCCCCCCACTCTTTGATTATAACTGATCATTTTTTATTATTCAATTCCGTTTAGTTTTTGGCCTCTTCTTCTGGGTCCTTCTCATCTATTATTCTCGTCCATCTCTTCTATAGATTCCTTCTAACCCACAAAAAATCTTCATATTTTCTATAAGAAACTGCCGTCCTACCTTCTTTGGTGGATTTTGGATACCCTTTTGAAAAAAATTTGAAATCTGACCCTTTCTTTGGTCCAGATCTTTGAGTTTTATTGGGAGTATCATGGCGGAAGAGCATGGATGTCAGGCACCTGAGGGCCACCGTTTGTGTGCAAATAATTGCGGATTTTTTGGCAGCCCTGCTACTAAAGATTTATGTTCTAAATGTTACGGAGATCTTTGCCTGAAAGAGACACCAAAGAATTCCAAATCCAGCGATTCTCCTTTATTTTCATCCCCGCCTTTGGTTGCGCCGTCGTCATCTGTGGCGGAGACGTGGCCAACAATATCCTCGCCGGAAAACTCTCCTGCGGCGGCGCAACCGGTGGTGCCACACCAGCCCAGCAGGTGCTTTACGTGCAGGAAGAAGGTGGGGTTAATGGGTTTCAGGTGTAGGTGTGGGACCACCTTCTGTGGTAGCCACCGGTACCCGGAACAACATGGATGTACCTTTGATTTCAAGGGCATGGGGAAGGAGGCCATTGCCAAGGCCAATCCTGTTGTCAAAGCTGAGAAGTTGGAGAAGATATGATCAGAGCCGTTGATTTCGATGACTTTTCTGGCTGATGAACGGTTGAGATTATGCGGACTATTGACGAGGATGATCATGGCACACTTGTAAATTTGATGTGAATAATTTTTCTTTTTGTTTCTATTTTCTCTGTTTTCATAATTTATGTGGGATTTAGTGAAAAAAAAGAAAAAAAGAAAAATAATGATGTCAATAGATGCTATTTTCATGCGAGTCCCCTTTTGTCTGCCATTATTCTAATTTATAATTTTTGAAATAGTTTTATTTTGGGGTAATTGGCACAAAACGTGGGATCTTTCAAGTTTATTGTGAAAAACGTCTATACCTTTCATTTTATGATATTTTTGCCCTTATTTCAATATTTCTTTGTGTTAAATGTCATTTTTATCATTTTTTGTCGTAAAATGATCAAAATATTCTTCTATTTAAGCAAAACAAAAACGCAAAGAAAAGAAAAAACCTGTAATTATTAGTCCAAACTTTTCATATGTGCAAATCAGTTCAAAATTGAAATGTCAGTAAACTACCTTGAAGCCAAAAAAATTCTGACCAACTACAGTCGAAACCATCGAACTTCTATGTTGCTGGATAGCCTTCACTCCCCTCTACACATATCACCCAGCATTCAATTATCATTCCAATAGATTTGGTAGAAATTGCAAGTAGAAATATTGAACTTGCAAATGCAAATACGTGACGGCACCACCTGTTCCGACAAAACTCATGCCATTCCCAACATTCTAGTCAAATATACACATCAAGACGTCTCTGTCCATGGTCCTCAAATGTCATTTAATTTACGTAATCAAACCAAACAGGCTGCAACTTTAAACACAGTCATTTCGCAATTTTCAGGCGAATTTTTCGGCGTTGGTGGTGGGACTCATGATCGCAGACCACCACCTCAAGTACCTACTTTTCATGGCACATCCAATAAGCATATGGGTCTTTTTCAATTTTGACTGGACACGACAGTTCATTCAAAAAACGCAAAATCCTTCGATCCCATTTCAATTGGTGTTCCTCTACATTTATAATCAACAAATTGCACAACTAGAATACAATTTAAAGTGTAACGACTCTAGATAGAGAATCAACTGCTATAGTTCACCATTCAAACGAAACAATTTAGGATTTTTGATCGGTAGTGAAATGGGAGTGGGGGTGAGGTGTGGAAAATGTGTTTTCTTTCAATTTTGGGCTGATTTGCACCTATGGAAAGTTTGGATTTATAGTTACAATTTTTTTTTTTTTGGGTTTAAATAGAAGGGTATTTTGTTCATTTTACGTCAAAAATGGTAAAAAAAAAAAAAAAAAAAAAAAAGAGGTTAAAAAAAAAAAAAAAGGAAAAAAGGGG